GGGTGACGTCACGGTAGCTACGTCCATCTTTTATACAGTCTATGGGGAAAACCTAAAGAAATCATCCAAGATATCAGAAAGAGAATTGTGGACCTCCACAAGTCTGGTTCATCCTTGGCTTCAATTTCCAGATGCCTGAAGGTTCCACGCTCATCTGTTCAACAATTATACCCAAGTATAAACACCATGAGAATGTCCAGCAATCACAACGCTCAGGAAGGAGACGGGTTCTGTGTCCCAGAGTTGAACATGTTTTGGTGCAAAATGTGCGTATCAACCCCAGAACAAAAGCAAACGACTTTGTGAAGATGCTGCTGAAGCTGGTAAGAGAGTGTCATTATCCACAGTTAAACAAGTCCTGTACCGACATGGGCTGAAAGGATACTCAGAAAGGAAGATGACATTACTCCATAAAGAACATAAAAAAGCCAGATTACAGTTTGCAAATGCACACACGGACAAAGACCTTAATTTTTGGAGACATGTCCTGTGGTCTGATGATAAAATTGAACTGTTTGACCATAATGACCATCTTTACATTTGGAGGAAAACGGGAGAAGCTTGCAAGCCTGAGAACACCATCCCAACTGTGAAGTACGGGGGTGGCAGCATCATGTTGTGGGGCTGTTTTGCTGCAGGAGGGACTGGTGCACTTCACAAAACAGATGGCATCATGAGGAAAGAACATTATATGGAAATACTGAAGCAACATCTCAAGACATCAGCCAAGAAGTTAAACCTTGGGCGCAAATGGGTCTTCCAAATGGACAATGACCCGAAGCATACCACTAAATTAGTTACAAAGAGACTTCAGGACAACAAAGTCAATGTTTTGGAGTGACCATCACAAAGCCCTGATTTCAGTCCTGTAGAAAATGTGTGGGCAGAGCTGAACAGATGTGTGGAGCAAGGCGGCCAACAAACCTGACTCAGTTACATCAGGTCTGTCAGGAGGAATGGGCCAAAATTCTGGTAAACTATTGTGAGAAGCTTGAGGCAGGATACCCAAAACATTTGACCCAAGTCATACAGTTTAAAGACAATGCTACCAAATACTAGGAAATAAATGTAAACTTCTGACTTTGAAAAAAAATTCTCTAAAAAATTTTTTTTTGTCATTATTCTGACATTTAGCAAATAGAAATAATTTTGGTAACTCTAACTGACCTAAAACAGGAAAAGTTCAGTCTGATTTAATGTCTGATAGTGAGAGAAAAAAAAGGTTGTGTGTCTTTTTATACAGTGTATGTAAAGTTCTGGTTTCCACTGTATGTGTGCAACTTGTTACCTTGTTGTTGTATAATTAGTCCAATTTGAGTCCTAAGATTGTCTCAGGGGGGTTCCTCTGTTTAATCAAGCATTAATCAAGGTATAACAAGCTCAAATGTAGGGACAGCAGTGTGGTATGACACATTTAGCCAGACCTATGTCTTTTACACGCAGTACTTTTTTACTTGAGTACAGTATGAGCCAGAGCTGGCCTTTTCAAACAACAGATGGCAGCAGAGAGCCTTTGTTTGGACAAAAGACACCCCGTGTTTGTTGGAAATTGCTGATTGTTGGATGCGTTGGAGGCTGTATAATAATTGGGTTTTGTTACATGGACGTACTTGAATGGCAGCATGTGCAGTGGGTGTTACCTGATTTTCATAAAGGTTCAGCCCAGTGGCCTGCAGGATCAGTGCAGGATCACTGGTGTTGTGTGATGAGATTTTGTAATCATGCTGTGGCCCTGCCCTATAAGTAACTGATACGTCACACCTTACGCGCTCCCAGCTACCATTAATGTGCGCGTCTCTCCAGATTTACTACCGTGTTGGAGAACAACAGGGGCATCAACGAGAACACTGGCGCGCAACGGGATGCTCACTTTTTGTTATTTATTTTGAATTGTGGATTAAATGTGGACACTTTTTTCATGTGCTTCCCCGTGCATCAAGCTCATGTGTTGACTTGACTGGTTCCTATACTATGTTGGGAATCTTTAAACAGAGAAAAACTTTGATTCACCTTTACGCGCACGTCTGTTTCAGTCATTTTTGAGCTACAGTCCTGAGCGCAGCCTCCTTTGGCAGCTTTCAGAGAGGTGGGAGTGCACCGGCTGGAAGATGTAAGCAGCTCAGCGTGGCCAGTGTTTTCTTCAGGTCATCGCAGGTCTGTAAGGTGTTGGTGACCGCAGCAGCAGCAGCAGCAGCACATGACGGCTGATTTATCTTGTTTACCTTCTGAGCATCAGTGCGCATCCCCCCACCGCCTCACTGATTTACTGTNGATGGATGGATGGTTGCACAGGCCTGTATGTGGCCATATACACCCATTCATCACCTGTATTAATAATAATTAATCCTTGTTCAAATCTGTTCTTGTATCTTAACCTATAATTTGCAGTTTTAAGGTAAAAAAAACAGTTAATTAGAGACACACCTCTGGCTGTATTTTAAGTCACACCTCAAACACGCTGCTTGCTTTTGTGACAACATGGGAAAACCTAAAGAAATCATCCAAGATATCAGGAAGAGAACTGTGGACCTCCACAAGTCTGGTTCATCCTTGGCTTCAATTTCCAGATGCCTGAAGGTTCCACGCTCATCTGTTCAACAATTATACACAAGTATAAACACCATGAGAATGTCCAGCCATCATACCGCTCAGGAAGGGGACGGGTTCTGTGTCCAAGAGTTGAAGATGCTTTGGTGCAAAATGTGCATATCAACCCCAGAACAAAAGCAAAATAACTTGTGAAGATGCTGCTGAAGCTGTTAAGAGAGTGTCATTATCCACAGTTAAACAAGTCCTGTACCGACATGGGCTGAAAGGCTACTCAGAGAGGAAGAAGACATTACTCCATAAATAACATAAAAAAGCCAGATTACAGTTTACAAATGCACATTAGTGACAAAGACCTTCATTTTTGGAGACATGTCCTGTGGTCTGATGATAAAATAGAACTGTTTGGCCATAATGACCATCTTTACATTTGGAGAAAAACGGGAGAAGCTTACAAGCCTGAGAACACCATCCCAGCTGTGAAGTACGGGGGTGGCAGCATCATGTTGTGGTGGTGTTTTGCTGCAGGAGGGACTGGTGCACTTCACAAAATAGATGGTATCATGAGGAAAGAACATTATGTGGAAATATTGAAGCAACACCTCAAGACATCAGCCAAGAAGTTAAACCTTGGACGCAAATGGGTCTTCCAAATGGACAATGACCCGAAGCATACCGCTAAATTAGTTACAAAGAGACTTCAGGACAACAAAGTCAATTTTTTGGAGTGGCCGTCACAAAGCCCTGATCTTAATACTGTAGAATATTTGTGGGCAGAGCTGAACAGATGTGTGGAACAAGGCGGCCAACAAACCTGACTCAGTTGCATCAGTTCTGTCAGGAGGAATGGGCCAGAATTTATCAAACTATTGTGAGAAGCTTGAGGCAGGATACCCAAAACATTTGACCCAAGTCATCCAGTTTAAAGGCAATGCTACCAAATACTAAGGAAATGTATGTAAACTACTGACTTTGAAAAAAAATTCTCTAAAAAAAAAAATCTTTATCATTATTCTGACATTTAGCAAATAGAAATAATTTTGTTAACCCTAACTGACCTGAAACAGGAAAAGTTTAGTCTGATTTAATGTCTGATAGTGAGAAAAAAAAAAAGGTTGTGTGTCTTTTTATACAGTGTATGTAAAGTTCTGGTTTCCACTGTATGTGTGCAACTTGTTACCTTGTTGTTGTATAATTAGTCCAATTTGAGTCCTAAGATTGTCTCAGGGGGGTTCCTCTGTTTAATCAAGCATTAATCAAGGTATAACAAGCTCAAATGTAGGGACAGCAGTGTGGTATGACACATTTAGCCAGACCTATGTCTTTTACACGCAGTACTTTTTTACTTGAGTACAGTATGAGCCAGAGCTGGCCTTTTCAAACAACAGATGGCAGCAGAGAGCCTTTGTTTGGACAAAAGACACCGTGTTTGTTGGAAATTGCTGATTGTTGGATGCGTTGGAGGCTGTATAATAATTGGGTTTTGTTACATGGACGTACTTGAATGGCAGCATGTGCAGTGGGTGTTACCTGATTTTCATAAAGGTTCAGTCCAGTGGCCTGCAGGATCAGTGCAGGATCACTGGTGTTGTGTGATGAGATTTTGTAATCATGCTGTGGCCCTGCCCTATAAGTAACTGATACGTCACACCTTACGCGCTCCCAGCTACCATTAATGTGCGCGTCTCTCCAGATTTACTACCGTGTTGGAGAACAACAGGGGCATCAACGAGAACACTGGCGCGCAACGGGATGCTCACTTTTTGTTATTTATTTTGAATTGTGGATTAAATGTGGACACTTTTTTCATGTGCTTCCCCGTGCATCAAGCTCATGTATTGACTTGACTGGTTCCTATACTATGTTGGGAATCTTTAAACAGAGAAAAACTTTGATTCACCTTTACGCGCACGTCTGTTTCAGTCATTTTTGAGCTACAGTCCTGAGCGCAGCCTCCTTTGGAGAGAGAGCGCGGCAGCTTTCAGAGAGGTGGGAGTGCACCGGCTGGAAGATGTAAGCAGCTCAGCGTGGCCAGTGTTTTCTTCAGGTCATCGCAGGTCTGTGAGGTGTTGGTGACAGCAGCAGCAGCAGCAGCAGCAGCACATGACGGCTGATTTATCTTGTTTACCTTCTGAGCATCAGTGCGCATCCCCCCACCGCCTCACTGATTTACTGTATGCTGGGTGTTTGCAGCAGCCGCCTTCTCACTGGCTGATCTCACAGCCTCCAGTTTGGTCTACATTCCCTCCAAAAACAATATGAATTTCGACCAGATCCTCTCTGCTATCGGCGGCTATGGCAAGTATCAGAAAATTCTGTACGTCTGGATTTGTTTACCTCAGATCCTACTGGCCTTCCACATGATGGTGAGCATCTTCACCGGGGCCACTCCGCCCCATCAGTGCCGGGAGAACTCCAGCTCGGCAGCAGGGAATCAGTCCCTCAGCCCGGCTACACTCACCCTGAACTTCAGCCTCGCCGACTCCTCCTGCTTCTCCTCGGATGTCCAGCTGGAGGACAACCGGACTGAACGCGTCCCGTGCGGCCACGGATGGGTCTACAGCAAAGACACTTTTCAGAGCACCACTGTCACAGAGGTACAACAGGAAGATAATGTGCAAAAAATACCTTTCTGTTTGGGTTGAAGAGTAATTTTAATTAATTTAAATTAAGCCTCTTATTATCTTGGGGGCCAATTTGACCCCATTCAAAGTTTAATGTCTCTCTAGACATATTTTTTTCCATTTTATTTAAAGGGCTAGTTACACATAAACTTGGGTAAAAATTTCAGTCATGATGATTTTCTGAAAGTTTAAATTGCTGGGGTCAAATTGAACCCAAGGATAAAAGATGTTAGCAAATTTGAAAGTAATAGGAAGGTTAAAGCAAACTGAAGTGTGGGAGCATTTCTTGCAATATGCTTAGTAAGTTAAGTGTTACAGAACAAATCCTCCTTGTCACATGTCTGGATTCAACTCATGTGACATATTTCGCCAGGATATAGTTCACACTTCCTTCTTTAGAAACTCCTCAATGTGTTTGGCAGCATGCTTTGGGTCATTATAATGCTGGGAAGTTCCTCTGCTGAGAAACTTCTGTATGCTGGGAATCATCTTGTCAGCCAGCATTATGTGCATTATGCTACATCCTCAGGTATTCATGGTGTCAACTATAAATGTCATCTTCCTAACACCATTTGCACTCATGTAGCCCCGAATCATCTCACTCCCTTCTGCGTGCTTCACTGTCAGGACTATGCATTCACTGTCCTGACCAGGTTCTCGCCAAAAATGCTGGACCCCATTAGATCCAAGCCAATTTGTTTTGGTCTTAGCTGGTCAAAGAATCTGCCCCCAACACCAAACATTGACGGCATCCATAAAGGTTGACATCATGCACTGTCCTACTGAGCTGTCACAGAAAAATGTAATTTCCAACCTCTATGAAGTCTGCAACACTTGCCTGTCTGTCTTGTCAGAGCCAGTCTGTTAAATTAGTGCACTGTCTGTGATTTTAATACTCCTCTGGCAACTTTTTCCACATGGAGCCATGATGCAGACATGCTTCATCATGCATCTGCAGAAAGACTCATATTATGTCCGTGATAATGTGTTGTAGTGTTGCATGTCCACCGGGTGACCCCACCTTGGTACCAAACAAACCATCAGTATCACAAGGAGTAGCATTCAGGCATAAGTGGAAAAATGTGTCGCCTCCATAGGCACTCTTCTTTATATAAGAAATAAATGTGTGTGTGATCCAGTAACAGTGCAGAGATCGTTTGCTTTTCCCATCTACTAGTGGGACCTGGTGTGTGACAGAGCCGGGCTGAACAGTCTTGGGTCGTCCATCTACATGTTTGGCCTGTTGGTGGGATCTGTGGTGTTTGGAGCCATGGCTGACAGGTAGGCTCTGCAGCTCTCTTTCTGTCTGCAGCACTGAACCAAAGCCTACTTCATACAGATACAACACACAGCCAGATTCTCGGCATCAAAGTGTGGCTGCAGGGGCAGACACAGCTGGAGTGCTTGGCATGTGGTAGCTGTGTGTAAGTAGGGCAGTTGACACAGCATGCTGATTTAGTTCAAGGGCTAAAGATACACACAGCGATTTGACGGAAACCGTTTCTTCCTAATTGGACCAACCTTTCCCGCAGGTGATGTTTTGGGCCTCAGGCATCATTTGAGAAATTTCTAGGTCATCAAAAATGTTCTGTGCTTCTTTACTGGAAGTGATGGAAAAGACTCTGCGATAGCATTAAATGTTCATGGGACTCAACAACTCTCCTGTACTTCTGAAATTCCTCAAGGGGCCATCCCATTCCAGCTCAACAGGAGTTCAGAACTTTTCCCAGTTCTTGTCAGGAAACTTCTTCCTCACAAATCACTTATTTTTCTTTGGATTGGGTTGAAATTTGTGCTAAACACACAAGGAACACTAAGGATAACTTCCAATTAAATAGTTTTTACTCAGTGTTATAGAGTAAACTGAATATCTCCACCGGGTTTCACTTTATTGCAACACACACACACATACTTTCTTATTAAACCCTGATCTGATACACTATCTAGTGATGCTGGTTCATACAAACAAGTAGTTTCTGTTCGCAGCACGTCCCACAACCAGAATTACAGGTTAAACCATCTCTTTTTTTGCCTCTTTGTTCCACATTAGATTTTTGTGCCTTCATCTGTAAGCTGACACTCTTCACAATACTCTCATGTCCAAGCTTATCAGCATTCATTCCCACTTCTATCTCATTGAGATGTATTAATAATTCACACTTGTTTTCCCGTAGAGAGCAAACTCATGTCCATCTCTTGTCTCTCTGTGCAAAGGTACGGCCGGCGCTTCGTCTTGCTGCTGTCCATCGCTATCCAGACCGTGTTCGGAGTCGCTGTTGCTTTTGCACCGAACTTCCCAGTCTATGTGATTCTTCGCTTTGTAGTTGGCACCACAATATCTGGAGTCATCATCAATGCTTTTGTGCTTGGTACTAACCAAACACACACACTCAAACACAATCATTTGAGAACACTGCAGGGGCAGAAGTACAAGGATTCAACTGCGAGAAAGACTTAGTAGTTAGGTAGAGCAATTAGAACATGTCTGTTAAACACATTGCAGTCAGGTGACGTGTGAATGATGTCTCCTTCTCAGTGTAAGTTGGAGGTTTGCCATTATTAGCGCTTAGATTCGTAAAACTCTTTTGAAAACCCATCAGGCTAAAGAAAACTAAATAAAAATGAAACGTTACCAAACTCAAAGAAATAGTTCTGCATAATACACTCAATCACTATCTTGTAGTGCGTTGAATGCGGATATCGATGCCACTCTTATATCCATCCATTTTCTATATCCGTGTGTGCTGAATATAAATAATATATATAACATAATACAAAGTTAAAGCCAGCAGTTAGTTAATTGTTTCCCAGTTTCGCAGAAAGTCAATGACAATAGAACTATCTCACACATAACGCCCACCTGTACAACCATATTTTTACACTTTATTTTTTGTACAGACTAAACAAACGAGATGTAACGTGTGTTACTGAGCTTTAGAGGTGCTTGCGAGTTTTTTTGCATTACCCGTTGAGAGATCTAGTTGAGTCAGTCTTTATGCTAAGCTAACTGGCTGCTGCTTTAAGTTTCATATTTACACACATGAGAGCAGTATCTGTACTCTAATATAACTCTTGGCAACAAACTGTACTGACCGCTGTGTTTTAAACAATAAATGGACAGATTGGAGGAAAAGACTTGGACAGCAAGGACACACTCAGTGAAGATGTAATGCAGGTTGAACATATGAAAGCAGGATATTTATCATGTATGGGAACAGATGTTAGTAGCAGGCACAGCTGCACTCATCTTATTATCACGTATCCATCACACCTGCAAACGCGTTATTTTAATGTTGCTTTTGCAAAACCCTTGTCGCTCTTTCCTTGACCTAAAAGCCCCGAAACATCACCTCAGTTAAACCCAAAACCCTCCTCTCCTCTCCTCTCCTTTCCTCTCCTCTCCTCTCCTCTCCGTACAGGTACTGAGTGGACGTGCACTAAGAGACGCATGATGGCAGGTGTCGTCACAGACTTTGCCTTCGGTCTGGGTTACATGCTGCTGGCCGGAGTGGCATATCTGATACGGGACTGGAGAAAATTACAGCTTGCGATATCAGTCCCAGGCTTCCTACTCGTCTTCTATATATGGTGGGAAATTCAACTGACATCTGAACATTAGGTCCACTGTGTGTTCGAGCAACAATGTCCTCTTTGTGATGCTTATTTTCTCCTCCACCACTTTCTTGCCTCTGTCCCCTCTGTCCTAAACATATTCCTTCTTTCTGTTTGCTACTCGCTCTCTCTACCTCCTGTCAGGGTGGTCCCTCAGTCTGCCAGATGGTTGCTGACCAAAGACAGGAGAGAGGAGGCCATCGCACTCCTCCGCAAAGCAGCACTTGTTAACGGCCGGGTCTTACCGCCTGCTGTTCAGGTGGGCCTCTCTGTATTTTACGCTGTCGTGCTGGATAAGCTGGTAAAGTGGATTTACTGTCTGTAGCATGATGCAGAATGAAAACGTTTGTTTAAAAGACTGGGTTAGGAGGTACTCTGTATTTTGATTACAGTCAACAAATCCCATGAAAAGAACCTACCCAATAGTCAATCCATCTATTTATTAGATGTACCAGCTTTATGTTTTACCCTGAGAGGGTCTTGGGGAGCTGTAGTCTATCCCAGCTGACACCAACAGAGACCCTGTTCTCATCTCTCCATTTGTCCGATTGTATCGATTCCTCTCCTCACTTTTTCCTCACTCCTACCAGAGATGCAAGTAGAGGAGGGGAGGAAAGAGACACAAGGAGTCAAAGCAACTGGCATTTAACAAATTGAGACATCCTTGCTTCACAGCTAAACATGAAATGTGGCGCAGCTGCAACATCTGTTTTGTTGCAGCCTGCTGGTGTGTTTTAAGATCAGCAGAACAGTGTTCATGACAACTTACAGCACATGCAGTTATAATTCAATTCACAATGGGGAATAATGTGACAAGAATGTACTTGTGTCGTACATGTTTGGCTTTTTAATTCGCGCACACATGCAAACGTGCTGTGGCTTGACACACAAAAGATGAAAGTGAAGACTGACATAAAGATAAGCACATGATATATATTAGCGTACATACACTCACGTTACAGTCCTGTTCCTACCACGCTTTGTATATTTTAGCTGTGTGTCTCGTCTCCTTTATGCATTAAATGTACCAAGGAGATTTTAGAAAAGGATTCACTTGTGCTCATAACTCCTCCTTAAGGTGATGAGTTGAGATCAATTTCCGGTCCAACCATTCTTGTCTTTAGAATGTGGTAGAAGACCAGAACCTTTCTGTTCTGAGGGAACAGTAACCTCTGCACCAGTGAGCTGCCCTTAGCCAATAATATTTTAGTCTATTTCTCCCTTAGCTGAATAAGCCTAAGTGTTTGCGGTATCCAGCTTAAAGTCTATTTTATTCGTACTGAAGATACAGGAGCTGATGTACGTCTCTTTATTATATACATGTTAGATGTAGCTGCAGGGTGGTGCAGTTGGTAGCACTGTTGCCTCGCAGCAAGAAGGTTGCCGGTTTGCGTCCCGGTGGGGGAAACCGGAATCTTTCTGTGTGGAGCCTCCGTTAACCTCCTCCTCATTAAGTCATGCTTCTTGGACACATAGATAATGAACTGAAGCAGGTAATGAACACTGGCTATATAATGAAAATTAAAAAATCATCAAGGTTGTCTTGCACAGTTAGAAGGAGACGTAACCTTTAATCAGTCTTCCATCCTTCGTTGCACATGTTCTTCCATTTGTTTCTGATGATTGTCAGGTTCATGATGTCAGCAACTATATATAAACACCTTGTTAAATATGGTTAAAAAGTTTGAATAAAAACAAAAAATAACCCCCAAAAACCCTAGATTTTCACCAAAAAGGATCTTTAAAGAATTCTCTATAGATTTGGCAGAAGAATAAAGAGGTTAAAATCTTCATCCTAGGGCTGCAGGGTGGTGCAGTTGGTAGCACTGTTGCCTCGCAGCAAGAAGGTCGCCAGTTCGCGTCCCTGTGTGGAGTTTGCATGTTCTCCCCGTGCAGCGTGGGTTCTCTCCAGGTTCTCCAGCTTCCTCCCACAAGGTCCATAAACATGTTGAGGTTAATTGGCGATTCTAAATAGTCTGTAGGTGTGAATGTGAGTGTGCTTGGTTGTCTGTCTCTAAGTGTAGCCCTGTGATAGACTGGTGACCTGTCCAGGGTGACCCCTGCCTTCGCCCTAAGTCGGCTGGGATAGACTCCAGCCCCCCATGACCCTAGTGAGGATAAAGCGGTGTATAGATAATGGATGGATGTTAGACGTAGTGTTACACACCCTGTGAGCGTAGTAAGAGCGTATAGCAAGTGTCCTGCCTTATTGTTATTCCTGACTATTCCTGACACACAAATATAGCTTCAGGGTGACTAAAGCAGCTGGTTGCTTTAGTTTTTTTCTAAATACTCCTCAAACAGGACCAACAAGTGTGTTAATTTGGGATTATTTTCTCACAAAATAGCCCACACTGATATTTGTAGCAGTATGATGATAAATAGCACTAAAGAGCTTCAGTACCCATGTTGTATGAAACAAAGGAACTATGTCGTTTGTTGAGGCTTCTAAACATCCATCCCTTATCTATACACCGCTTAATCCTCACTAGGGTCACGGGGAGGCTGGAGCTTATCCCAGCTGATTTAGGGTGAAGGCAGGGGACACCCTGGACAGGTCTATCGCAGGGCTACACTTTAAGACAACCAAGCACACTCACATTCACACCTATAGACAATATAGAATCATGTGTTTTCTGTGTGAGAGGAAGCTGGAAAGAACATGCTGCATGGGGATTCTCAGTTCTCCCCAAACGCCAAGCAGAAAGATCCCGGGTGTCCCCACCGGGATGTGAACCGCCTTCTTGCTGCGAGGCAACAGTGCTACCAGCTGCACCACCTTGCAACCCGGCTTTTAAACAATAATCGTGATTTATGGAATAGAAGATTTATCAAAATCAGTCTTACACAATGCACTAAATGTCATTGTTGGTTTTAGTCTTTAATGAAATGCAACTTGAAAAATATGAGCTGCCACCAGCCTTACACTTACGGTTCTGATTTACTTGTGAATCCACGTCAGGTCGAAAAGTGTGAGCTTTTCATTAGAGGGAAGCAAAATGCCTCGGCAGTGGATCTTCTACGGACGCCTACAATGAGAAAGAGATCCTTCATCTTGTTCTACCTCTGGTAAGTCGTGTTTGTCACGCTGACAGAGGGGAAAAAAAATCAGTTCCCTATACCTTTTACCTCTTCACACTCTGTCCCTTTCGTCGACAATCTCAGGTTTGTGAATGTGCTGGTGTATTATGGCTTCGCACTGGGCGTGTCCAGGTTGGGGACGAACCTCTACCTGACCCAGTTTATTTTTGGTTTGGTCGAGATCCCGGCTCGCTCCCTTGTCCTCATCTCCCTGCCTTGGAGCCGCCGATTCTCCCAGACTGGCTTCATGGCTGTTGGAGGGCTCGGCTGCCTCCTCATGCTCACAGTTCCTGCAGGTAAACGCTGTGTATTTGTTCTAAGAGGGATGAACTGATCATCTAATGCATTTCATAATGTAGATACATTTTCTCTTTCTGTTGCAGGACATCCTAACGTCCTGACAGGTTTTGCCATGGTAGGGAAGTTTGGCATATCAGCTTCCTTTGCTGTCATTTACGTGTACACTGCTGAGATATTCCCCACCGTGCTCAGGTAAGACTCGTGAGTTTTTCTTAACTTGGCACTTTTTCATTCCGTTCAAACTGCTGCAACTTTTGTTTCCTTTATGTACTGACAGGCAAACAGGACTAGGTGCATCCAGCATGTTTGCAAGGATGGGCGGTATGTTAGCACCTATTGCCAACATGCTGTTTAACCACAGCCCTACAGCACCCCTCATCATCTTCGGCGCTTGCTCATTTGTAGGTGCACTCCTGGCTCTGGCACTGCCCGAAACTGCCAACATGCCGCTTCCTGACACAGTGGAGGATGTAGAAAAGTGGGACAACAGGTACTAAGACATGGCTTCTGGATGGGATTTGTCAGATGTTTTGTCAGATCGTGAAACAAAGTACAATGTAAGGTCAATGAAACTGCATTTTTCTCATCTCAGAGAGGAGAAGAGTGTTTGCGTTTAATTGAAATACAAAATGATTTCCTTGTTTCTTTTCACACTTACAGTTTATGGGCTCTTTTATCAGTCAACTTTTTAAACATGACCCATTGTTTGCTCCAGTGTTAAAATAGCTGTGTCTACTTGGTGTTTTGTCTCCAGCAGGTCGCCTAAAACCAAGGACAACCCTGATATGTGTGAAGATATTAACCAGTCAGCAAGCAGCACAGAGAAGCAGGAGCTACAGCATCCAGCTGGCCAGGCTTAACAGTGTGATAAAGGTTGCACTGTCTCACTAATCTCACATTATGCTGCTGCAACTCAGATACCGGACACACTATTTACCACAACATCCTCTATGCAAGTACATATCTGATTATAAGCTCTATGCAAGAAAGTCAACATGATCTTCCCCCAAATGTTTATTTCAATTCTAAGAAGTGGTTTGATATATTTTGTATATGTGGGGACATTAATTAAGTAGTTCCCCATAGGGCTTTGCAGACACACAAACTGTAGAATTGTATACACCAATCTGCCACAACATCAAAGCCATCTACTGTGTGTTATTATGTTCATCAACTCCACAGACCCCTGAAGGTGTTCTGTGGTATCAGGAACCAAGATGTCAGTAGCAGATCCTTGAAGTCCTGGAAGTTGTAATGTGAGGTTGTCAGGATCTGACTTGTTTTTTCAGCACATCCAACAGATGCTCAATCAGGTTGGGATCTGAGGGATTTGGAATCCAAGTCAAAACCTTGAATTCCTTGTTTCACCAGACCATGCCTGAACAAAATGTGGCAGATTTGTCGTTACGCTGCCCCATATGCAGCAAGCTGCAATGCACCGCGTTCTGACATCTTTCTATCATAGCAGCATTAAGGTTTTCAGCAATTTCTCCGACAGTAGCTCTTCTTGGGGATAACATGGGCCAGCTTTCCATCCCCACGTACATTTATGAACCTTGGGCGTCCATGACCTTGTCACCAATTCACCACTCCTTACCTTAGCTAGGTACTAATTACTGCATACGAGGAACACCCCACAACACTTGCCATGTTGGAGATGCTCTGTCAACTACTAATCCTGATTTAACTTTTGCCAAAGTCACTCAGATCTTCATGCTGCCTACTATTCCCATGACCCACACGTCACCTTTCAGGGATTGACTGTTCACTTGCTACCTAATTTATCCCACCCCTAGGTACCATTGCGACGAGATAGTCAGGTTACTTAGCCTGTCAGTAGTTTGAATGTTTTGGCTGGTTGGTGTATATTTATATATCTTGGGTCCAAAAATACTTTCTAAACCTGTACTGATTTTAAGAATAAAGTTGGATAAGAAGCTGAACACATTGCCACTGTCTCTCTAATGCAGTTCCTAATAGTCCTGTTGAGCAGCTATTTTTTTTTCAGGACTTATTACCTTTTGTGCATTTCATAAAAACTCCTAAAATATTTTTGTATGAATGTGTGTGAACTGTCTCTGGGATGTGTTTGTTGTATCGTAATGCTGTATTGCAAATCAATGCCTCATCTTTTATTATATGTTTTCAAGCCAAGACAAATGAAACTATTCAAGTGAGTGCATGTACTAGCTAACTCTGTTGTACCTAATGTAGCCTTTTGTTTGATGGCTGCACTTAGTTCAGTTTTGTATGTAAAATTTGGAATGTGACTGATCAGCATGTGAAAAAAAACGTGGTTTTAGCATCGTTTGTAGGGGTTTATTCTTCTTCTATTTTACTAAAGTCTGCTCAACTGCAAATCGCTTGTGGCTATGATGACTTGGCTCTGGAAGAATGCAGTACATTTTAGAAGTGTTTAAGGGCTGTCATTGTGTATATGAATTAGTGATGCACTGACGGAAGTGCAGGCATTCACCAGAAGCGCAGGTCATGTAATATGCTACTATAAAGCTGTGCTGATACTCAGGGCAAAAGGATTTAGCTTTTTAAAAAGTCTATTATTCCTTTAGCAAAGCTATTTAATAACTGGTTACCAGTTGTTCCACTGCATGGATCTGAGAAAGCATGCAGCATGTGGTTAGTTAGATGAATCACAGATGTCACTGAAGGCTGTAAATGGAAAACTTTTCAGATTTTTATTGCAATGCGTTCTTGTCCAGTGCATTTGAATAAAACACAATCTTAAAAACAAAAACAAAAAAACAGTGGAAATGGTTAATAAAATGTACTGTGTCTAATTAAAATGAAGGCACTGTGTGTTTGGGCCTTCAGCAATACCATTAAAATTTAAAAGTGGATTTGTTGTGCGTGCGAGTTGAGGCATTTCAATCTGATGCAATAACTGCATAGAGATTAGTACAACATGAAGTGTCACTCGGTCTTAGGCACTCAATTTAAATCACTTTAAAAATCCCCTAAGGGCGAATTCTTTTAAGCAGTTGCTTAAAATTGTGGCAGCTTTAAAATGAAGTAAAAAAAAAAAAAAGTAAAGTGGCATCAACAGGAACAAAGCAGCATTAACATCCAGCAATATACACAGAGGGGACACAATCTATGACAGTGTAACATATGTAGCATCAGTAGTGACGCCACAGTTGTTATCTTTCATAGACATGAGGATGTAGCCGTCATTGCCCCAGTAGGTGGACCAAGAGTTCTTTATCAACCAGTATGGCTCCCCATTCAAGCTGCCGTATCCCACTGCAAGCACAGCGTGGTCCAAATCATCTGGGGTATTACCTGAAAAACACAATGAAACATGTTCAGCTGTAGTCAGAGAAACGCTGCTGGAAAAAGCATTTAGCGCCACTGAGGTGTGAACTTACCGCAAGCAGGTTCGTAGTAGACGCCGTGGCTGTAGAACACAAATGATCGATGTGAAGCATCGATACTGACGGCCACCGGTCCGTTTTTGAAGAGAGCCAGCTTGAGCGCTTCTGCATCACCTGATGTGACGTTAGTGTAGCTCTGGATACCTGCAGTAAGCTGGGATGAGTTCTCGTGGCAAAATCCATTCTGTCGAGAAAGAGACAAAACAGGTGAGACACGAAATTCATAGACGGTTGCCAAGTTCATGTGCATATCGATGTTCTTGTTCCACATATCTGGAACAAACGTCCAGACAACTGCAGGTCTGTTGAAACTCTCAGCTCCTTTAAATCAAGGACAAAAACTTATTTATTTACTGTTGCCTTTAATTAATGACTGTCTTAATACAGCACTGCACTGTCAGTCTTAACACTGCACTGTAACTTTTAAAGTGATTTTATTTTTCTCTTTTATCTGAGTTTTAATTTCTTTGTTTTTATTTTCAGAAAATTTCACATTGATTTTATTGCTTAAATTGTTTTATTTTTATGATTTAAACGCATGCTTTTAGTGTCCACCGTTGAAATCATCTTTGTAATTAATTCCTAAAGCACTTTCAATTGCTTTGTGTATAAGTTGTACTGTATAAATAAATGTACCTTGCCTTACATACAGAGGACATTAAGCAATAAAAACATGGAGGGTTGTATATGTAGAACAACAGGGCGTTCACTGAAGACCAAAACACAGACTGAACACCGGTGCTTTTGAGACACAGAAAGCAAATCCATTCTTTAAACTTGTGTAAGAAAATCAGTGAATTCAGCCAACTGAAGTATCTGATAACTGGGCAACAATGACACTCTTTTAGAAACTGTTACGCTGACTGTGAATCTGAAGGGAAAAATGGCTTTCGTGCGACAATGCTACATTTACAAAGCTGCACTGTACTGGTGGAAAAATGTCCTAACATGCCGAAATGTCTTTTTTTCTAACCATAATTAGGAGCAGATTGTTGGAATCACATTTCATAGAAACTTGTAAATCCAGTAGTGGTTTAACCCTCTGAGCACGAGGCTATTTTCAGAGTAATTTCCTTAATTTTACTTCAAAGCAGTTATCTCATTATCGTTATAACTGCTCGACACATGACGATGCTGGAGCTCCTTTTCTTTAAATCAGTCTCGTCATTTGCAACGACAATACAGTTTCTATGTTAGCCTTTATATAAAGGGGGAAATGCCTATTATTAAACTGAGATGTTTTTATATGTATCTCTCATCATAAAAATGCTGGCAGTAGATAAACATGTATTCTTGTGCAGGGGACATTGTCTGGAATCTGGTAATACCAGAACCACAATGGTAGAATACTGCATGACTTTGGAATTTGAATAAAATACTGAAAAACTACTGGAAATAGTAGTCTACTGAAGACACACGCTTGTCATCAATGCAATGACAAGCAAATACACTACTTTTGTGTTTATTTTCCATAGAAAGTGGGATGTAATGTCAGTTCTTTGTTGGGGAAAAAGCAGACATCTGCTGTAAACTCTAATGTCACACAGAGAAACAGCTAATATCATCGGAAAGGGTAAGTTGTGAAGCAACAGCAACGGTATTATGTGTACAAATATGGAACAAGCGTAATTACAAACGCTTCACTCATTCTTGTGGTGCAGTATGTGTTCCCAATATTTGCAATGACGAGTTCAGGAGTAATTGAGAGAAAAGGGTGTGGAGATGGATGCAGAGCTGTATGCAAAACCATGATTACATTTGAATGTAACTTTACATTTCTTTTGTTTTGTCTCCCTAACAGAAAAGCAATTGGCAGCATTGGGAAGGCCAAGTCGTACAGTTTCATTAGATATGCACGCCACCTTACTGTAATAAGCACTTCATGAGTGGACTGAGAAGAAGGGATGAGAATATGGATGCAAATTGTATCTGTGGGATTTAGGAGTCCTCACTTGAGTCTTGCTGCCTCAGTTGAAACATCAAATGAGCTTTCAATATTGTTCTAAAACCTTCAAAGTTGTTTCACTTCTCAACTATAATAAAGCGGTTTTGTTCATCCTTTAAGAAAAAAGACCACAATGTGTTTCAATGCAGTGCTGTTTCAAAACTATCAGAGATTTTTTTTTTTGCTTCATCGTCATGAAATCCTCTCACCATTCCCATATATGCTCCGTAGGTTTCTGTGGTGGCGATGCCTCCGTGTTTCATAATCCACTCATACGCTCTCCACTCCTCTCCTCCATCGCAGCCGTTATTACCAAAACCCCAGGAACAGTCCACCAGCATCTGCTGAGACAGAACCTGCAGGGAACCTGTCTGAAAGACAAAAGAAGAAATTTATTATTACCCACCCCGCAAATTATCAACCTGTTGTGACTTGCTGCATATGAATCAGACTATAAACATAATGCCACCTTCAGTGTTATAACGATTCACTAACTTCTTGTGACGAAACTATTCTTCAGGCGTGATTAAGTAACTTGTTCATTCATGTGTTTTGTAACAGTTGCCAAAGAACACTGTAGAGCAAATCATGTTTGAGTGGTTCACAATGCAGCAGCCAGGCTTTTACAAACACTAAACAAACCCGCATATTGGTCCACTCACACTGGCTTCCTGCATCTTTTAGAAGTAGCTCAACATCCTCCTGATCAATTCAAAGCTCTCCATGGCACAGCACCTTCTTGCATCTCTAAACTTATAACCAATTAGCCTGCACTAAGATTACTCAGACCTTCAGTCCATCCATCCATTATCTATACACCGCTTAATCCTCATTGGGGTCGTGGGGGGGCTGGAGCCTATCCCAAATGATGAAGAGATATTGAGGGTTTAGGAGGGAAATAATTAGATTAAAGGTTATGTATAAAAGCCAAAGAGTTCATAACAAAAAGACAGACTAAAATATACACAAGGCTTGAGATGGAAACATTTTTGCACCAGCTGTTATCTACAGGTTGCGAGTGAGACGCTGTGAGATCACGAAGGAGTAAATGTACAAGCGGCCCCTGGGGAGCGGCTGTGTTTATGAACCTGCCTCAGAGGACGTGGTTGCTGCTTCATGCAGGTCACTTCCTGCTGCTGCGCTGCGCACTGGCAAAGGTACAAAGACAAACTGCTGGGGCCTCACAACATTACTTTCTCGTCGCCAAATCAACTTGTTCCTGCAATCACTGCAAAACAATCAGGAGTATTCACCCATAGAAAAGACTCAGCGGTCTCATTAATTTGATGGCTGACATATTACTTTAGGAGCTGAAAATTCTCATAAAACTGCCAAATATGGTAATAAGGGGGGAAAAAAGGAAAAGAAGTGAGGACATAATTGTTTTAATGACCATCCACTCTCCTAAGCGTTTCGTCCAGTTTTCTCCTGTAGCGGATCAACTACGTCCTTATAGAAAGTAACCACGCATATTTACTCAGATACTATTTTATGCATCTTGACCTCTCCAATTCAGAGGCAAATATCACAAAATACATTTTGCCTTACCATATTGTCCAAATAAATTCACTTGCAGGTTCTGATTTGCAATACTACATAAAATAAATCCAGACATATTACTAAAGACTAAAATAAGACCTGACTGATCCCCAGGTGAAAATGATCCAACCTTCCAGCATTCAAAATGCAACATAAAGCAACAGAATCCATTTTGATCCTGTCACGCCGTCTGCACAAAGATCATGGGAGGAAATGTACCATGAAAGTCTTGCTTACATAAGTTAAACTGTCATTAAATACATGTCAAGACACGCCAACAGAGCTATGTATTTGGTCATGGATAGACTATGCTATGACATAATGCACCGATTAGCTCCAAAAGAAAACTACAAAGACACGACGTGGTTTATGACTACAAAGTGAATCCTGAAAGTGGAAACTCATAATTAAAAAAAACAAACATACTTTCTTAGTTATACTTGGAGGAACATTTTGAAACTCAAGCGGTTGTGGACTTATTTATTCTAATGATCACTGTGGAATCTGTTTTATGGGATCAAAAGGGATTCTGTTGCTTTGTGTGCATTTGAGAATAAACTTGACCTTCAGGCTGAACTCTGTGCAGAAATAGGTTTTGTTTAGTGTTATCGTGACATGCAACTACAAACAGTTCAGAAGTTGCTAGTTGGCTTCTGTATATCGAGTACTTTGAGTTAAACTGTTTTAAAAAGTTTCCTGTCAACCCACTTTTGGCACATTGAAATTTGAGGCTACGTTTGGATGACAATATGGATGGCTTATTTCTCACCATGTCATTGATTTAAATTCTGCAACACTGTGGATCGAATAATATCAGATCTTTAAGCACTCATTAAACAAAGAAATTGATCAGGCACAAGTCAAGCAGTGATATTCCTGAACCATGTGTAGTTTACTGTTTTATGTTTTACCATCAGTAAATATTTGATATATTTATTTTACATTTTACAAAGACTAGTTTAAATATTCATAGTTTTGAATG